ATCAACCAAATTTCAAAAGGATACTGCCTGGTTGAGGTGAAGCAGACAAAATCAAAGGAAGAGTTTGTAGTGATAAAATAGTTAAGATGTGAACACAATTATATTTATAATTATTGTAAATATTTTATACTTTAAAATATTCTCTTTATATATTTTATACCTTGAAATATTTTCTTTGTAAACACATATATATATAAGTCATTGTACTTACAATATTATTCAAGAAAGCAATAAACCTTTCTTCAAATTATTATTCTTCTTTTCTATTTCCAACATGGTATCAGAGCTATAAGCTCCTGATTCTTTTCTATTATTATCGCTGTTTGGTTTTTGAAGTTGGATTTTCAATTATGTTTCAAATCTGAAACTTTATCGTTGGGGTCTCTTCTTCTACAGATTGAATTGTTTATCCTCGATTCTCAAGCCCTTTTTAACGTATTTTGTTGGTTTATCATTTCGATCTTAGCATCTATTTCTTCATATTTTTTAGAGTTTTTCAGTATTGTGAGTTTTATTGATTCTATGGCGAGTTTTGAAAAGACTGTAACTCATCTTGCTACTGCTATGGTTGCCAAAGAAGTGATAGACCAACCTAATGTCAATCTTAAATCCCTAAAATAGGTGATATTAAATCTTTTTAATGCTCCTACTGCCTTATCTACTGCTCCAGGTATCAAATCTTAGTATTTTGATTCTGGTTGTTGCAACCATATGTCTTCAATTACTATGCATTTCTTTTCAATGTCACCAAATAATTCCTTTCCAGATATTTATTCTGCTGATGGTTCCGCTATGAATGTTAGTCACGTTGGCAATATTTCTATAAAGTCATTGACTTTATCAAATGCCCTCTTAATTCCAAAACTTAGTTATAGTCTTTTATCTATTAGTCAATTATGTGATCTTGGTCTTGAAATAACATTTTTTGCTCATGGTTGTCATGTGCAGAACCCATGGACATGACAACTTCTTGAAACTGGTCGTAAAGTGGGGCGTTTGTTTGAGCTCAACTATCTGCATATTCTTGATAATAAAATGGATACACCATCATTTCCAAATGATCGATTCATCCAAACCTTGCTTTGTGTTGTTGAATTAGAGTCTCTACAAATTCCATACCAACAAATTTTGCAAGCCTGTGTTGCTAATAACGTTTCTCCTCTCCATTTGTGGCACTCACAGCTTGGACACACCTCAGTTGGTAAATTTCGTCCACTTATCTCTTGTGGTTTATTAGGGTCAGTTTCAGATGAATCCTTGCATTGTGTGTCATGTTAATCTGCAAAGCAACCAATTTTATCTTTTTCGAATAGTCACTCTCATTCTACTACTCCTTTTGATCTCGTGCATTCTGATGTTTGGGGTCCATCTCCTACACCCACCATGAGAGGTTCTAAGTACTTCATGTTATTTATTGATGATCATTCTCGCTTTACCTAGATATATCTTATAAAAAATTGCTCTAAATTATCACAAATTTATATTGATTTTGCTACCATGATCAAAACTCAGTTCTCTAAAATTATCAAAGTTTTGAGAACTGATAATGCTACTGAATATCTTGGTACTAAACTTCAGTCCTTTCTGAAAGAAGAAGGCACATTGACAAAACAATCTTGTCCTTACACTTTTGAACAAAATGGATGAGCCGAACGCAAACACAGACACATCCTTGATTCTGTTCATGCTTTACTCATTTCATCATCTTGTCCAGAGCGATTTTGGGGTGAAACTAATCCTACAATTGTTTATCTTAGTAATCGCATTCCATCATCAATCCTTAATAACTAGTCTCCATACAAGTGTTTACATGGTATTCTTCCTGCATATAATCTTCTTAAGGTTTTTGGTTATGCATGTTTTGTTCTTCTTCCACCTCATGAACATAACAAGTTAGATCCTAGAGCTCGATTATGCTGTTTTTTGGGTTATGGGATTACACAAAAAGGATATCATTGTTGAGATCCTATGTCACAAAAACTCCGAGTTTCACGTCATGTTATCTTTTGGGAACACACTATGTTATCACCATTGTCAAACTTCAAAATGTTATCTTCTCATCAACCTCCATTTTTTACTAATCCTTCTATCAAGCCATTTCCTAGTGATTCTTATGCAGGTACATCTGATGAGCTCTACAATGCCACACCACATGCTCCAACTAGTTTTGTAGAGAATGATCTGCCTACTAGTAATGCGTTAGATAATTCTGAGCCTTCATCTACTTCTTCATCTGTATCACCTATTGATGTTGCATCTAATATTTTTGAGTCTACAAATGAGCTTGTTGTCCCATCCTCGACTTATCCTACTTGGGTAAGAAACCCTCCTAGCTACCTTCGTGATTATCATTGTTTTTCTACTATTACTTCTTTACATGAGCCTCAATCCTATCAAGAGGCCTCTTCTAACCCTCTTTGGCAACAAGCTATGCAAGATGAATTACAGGCTCTTGAGAACATTCGTACATGGGATTTAGTTGATCTCTCTATTGAAAAGTCTCTAATAGGTTGTAAATGGGTGTACGAGATTAAAACAAGATCTGATGGTTCTGTGGAGCGTTACAAGGCACGCTTGGTTGCCAAGGGTTTTACACAGGAGTATGGAATAGACTATGAGGAAACATTTGCTTCAGTTACTCATTTCACATATGTGCGTAGTTTGCTTGCTATCGTTGCTATACCAAGATGGAAATTGTTTTAGATGGATGTTAAAAATGCTTTTCTTAACGGTGACCTCGAAGAAGAAGTTTATATGAAACCACCTCTGGGGCTCAACCATCCTCCAAATAAGGTATGCCAATTGCGACGTGCATTATACGGGTTGAAGCAATCTTCTCGAGCCTGATATGCCAAGTTTAGTGCTACTGTGAGTAAGTTTGGTTTTACTTCCAGTCCACATGATACAGCTCTATTCATTCGTAAGACTGCTCGGGGTATGGTTCTTTTACTTCTTTATGTTGACGACATGATTATTACCGGAGATGATGTTGTAGGTGTTGAGGAGTTAAAACAATCCCTCAATCAGAAATTTGAGATGAAATATCTTGGTGTTTTGAGCTATTTCCTAAGGCTTGAAGTCACCTTTTCAGATGATGGCTACCTGCTTTCTCAAGTAAAGTATGCCTCCGATCTTGTTTCTAAAGCTGAACTCAATGATGGTAAGAGTGTTTCTACACCTCTTGAACCTAATGTCAAGCTTACACCTCTAGATGGCTCTCCACTTTCTGATCCTACTTGTTACCGGCAATTGGTTGGTAGTCTGGTTTATCTTACCACAACACGCCCTAATATAGCATACATAGTTCACATTGTTAGTTAGTTTATGGCTGCTCCTTGCTCCACTCATTATGCAACAGTACTTCGCACTATTCGCTATGATAAAGGAACATTATTTCATGGACTCCATTTTTCTGCCAACTCCACCCCTGTGCTTCACGCTTATTCTGATGCTGATTGGCCTGGTGATTTTTCTAATCATCGATCTACCACTAGCTACTATCTTTTCTTTGGTAATTCTCTTATCTCTTGGCGGAGTAAGAAACAAACTATTCCATCTCGCTCTAGTACTGAAGCTGAGTATAGAGCTCTCGGTGATACCACATTAGAACTTTTTTCATTACGATGGCTTCTTGAAGATATGGGCATTCCTCAACCTTCTTCTACTGATTTATATTGTGATAATCAAAGTGTTATGCAGATTGCTCATAATGATGTTTTCCATGAACGCACTAAACACATTGAGGTTGATTGTCACTTTGTTCACCATCATGTTGCACAAGGAACTGTTCAATTGGTTTTCATTAGCTCCGCTGATCAACCAGCAGACCTCTTTACCAAGGCTCATTTTCATGGACTCTTTCGTACTCTTCTTCCAAACTCAAGTTGATTTCATCACAACCACCTTGAGTTTGAGGGGGGATGTTAAGATGTGAACACAATTATATTTATAATTATTGTAAATATTTTATACTTTAGAATATTCTCTTTATATATTTTATACCTTAAAATTATCCTCTTTGTAAGCATTTATATAGGTCATTGTACATACAATATTATTCAAGAAAGCAATAAACCTTTCTTCAAATTATTCTTCTTCTTTTCTATTTCCAACAAATACCAAAGCCACTTTCCACTAGGTTGAGCTGTTGAGGTATGACTGTTATTCACTTTAGACTCGATAGAGTTAATGCTTTAATTTTATGAACTGTAATTTTTTACCATTTATTGTTTATCAGTTATCAAAGGTTTTTAGAACATGTTGTTGGAACTTAAATATTTTAATAAAAAAGAAAATAATATATTTTATAAATTGAATTTATTGTCCCATTAAGGACTTGGTCAAATTAGTCGTTGTAGGTTAATTAGCCTATTTAAGGGCACATTATTACATAATAATTGCCCAATTTATTCCTATCATTAATCTACAAATGGGAGTTACAAGACTATGAGTCTTATAAATAGGACATGTCATTTTGCTCAAAAAAGTATGTTCCTCCACATTCTCCTATTTTTCATACTTTACTTTATCCTCTAAATGTTCTTGGGTAAAGAAGAATGTTTTGAGTAAGGTGACTCTATGTGTAGTGCAAATCCATAAAGTGTTATTATAAAGCTGTAGCATCCTGGGGATGACATACTATATGTATCCCTGCTACACCAGTTGATCTACTCTCTGCAGAGACGTGAATTGCCTTAAAGTCTCAAAAAAGTATGTTCCTCCACATTCTCCTATTTTTCTTACTTTGCTTTATCCTCTAAATGTTCTTTGGGTAAAGAAAAGTGTTTTGAGTAAGGTAACTCTATGGGTAGTGCAAATCCATAAAGTGTTATTATAAAGTTGTAGCATCCTAGAGGCAACATGCTATATGTATCTCTGCTGCACCGGTTGATCTACTCTCCGCTGAGGCGTGAATCGCCTTAAAGTAAGTTAGCTTTTCACGCCTATTTCGATGATATTTTCTTATTGATATTCCTTGATAAGTTTACTAATTATTATTTTATTTGATCTTATGACCGAGACATAACAATGACATGATGTGGAGATGAAGGAAAGTGCTCGAGGAACAACACATGTACGATCTAAGGGATTCTCATTCTGATTCTGTGATTACAAGTACAATGATGAGAATACAATCTCATTTCTTACCCTGCAAAAGGTAAGCAGATTGCTTTAGAGAATGGATTTGGCACGTGAGTATATATGCTTTTGGAAAGATGTTGGGGATTGGTTCTAAGCCACCATTCGGGTGAAGGGATTTTGGATTTTCCATGGGAAGGACATTCCCCAATTTGTCATGGATGAGTATAACTAGCAGACGGTTGACATATTGGTAAAAGAACCAAGAAGTGTATGTGAATCAGATGATTGAAGATCACAACTGCGTTTTGAGGGAAAATCCCTTCTTTGATGCCAAGTGCCTCAATTAATGTTCCCCGTTTCTCTAGTTTAGGGATGGCAACAAGTAGCTACCGAGAGCAAAAAATATCTTTCGTTCCCATCTTTGTGAGAATGGTAGGGTTTTATAGGTATATAAAGTCCCCGTCAACTATTAAAATTACACACTTCAATGTTATTTTTTTCTATAAATAATTTTTATAACATTACATAAAAAAAAAATCATGGACATAAAAATAAAAACATATAGAAGTGAAAAGCATGTAAAAGTTTTCTTAAACACTCTAAAAATTCTCTCTATAGATATAAATAAGTTTCACATAAATAAGTAACAAGCTTTCGGTAGTTTAATAAATCTATAAATAACATTAAAAAGAGACAAAAAATTTAAAATTAATAAATGCATAAACATCCATCT